CTATCTGAATCTTCTCTTGCATAAATCTATGTTGTCTTCTCCTTGACATGATTACTTTCAGTTCCATCCAGGCACCATCTCTAGAAACTCATTTGAAATCTGTTCTTCCCTTCTTGGTTCTTTGTTTTCCCTCACTGATTCTTAGACATTAACAGTAGTTACTGCTTTCCAGATTTTCCTTTATTTTCACTTACTCTAATAAATATCTGACATCATTAGATAGACTATGACCCTTCATTTTAATACTGGTTGGCCTTCGCACAAGAGCCTTTATGCTACCCTTGTCTGTACTGCCTGGTTTATATGATGAAATATGTGTTTTCCTCAAGGAATTGTGCACATGACTTCCCCAGGCATCATCCTCTCTATTTCTTTCTCCCTCTGAAGGAGATCAGTTAAGGCATCATTTGTCTAGAAGCCCAGGTTAATAAATTTACCATTTCCACTTTGGAAATTGCAAAAGGTACCATGCCTGAAATTGAAATTTGTGGATTTTTTGGATATAATCTGACTATAAGAACTAGTTCCTTAAGCGCAGTTAATGGTATATTCCGCCACAGTAATACAGTTTAAGCTGCCTTTCTTGATAAAAATTCTAATGAAGCTTCAAGTCCTACCAAATAAAACTGTACTGTGCTAACAACACACACACACCCTACTGAAAACCAGGAAGTAGTTTTATGACAAACTCCATCATTCTTCAAAAAATGAGGTTTAGAGAAAGATAACTTAATTTCTATGAAAATCTCCCATGTAAAAATGTTAACTAATGAAACTGGAAGAGATATCAGCTTTTTCTTTCTTAAAATAATAGAATTTACTCTTTGGGATTCTCTACTTCCAAGTTAGAGTATTGTAAAATACACCTGAGATAGGTAAACTGTCAGAGAATAGGAATTTTTAAACTACTAAAATATGTCTTATTTCTTAATATATTAAGAAAGCAATCAAACTTTGTATCAAGTACTACTGAGTGTGAGGTAGGACTACACAGCTGGTTTACAAGCCATATAAGAAAATTGGTTTCATTATAGATAAACACAAAGGAAGATGGTAGATTCATATTGGGTACATGTGGTGGACATTGTTTTCCTCCTGACATTCCATTTACCTGATCATTGACTACTTACAAATTACAACATCACCATGCTTCACTGGCACCTCTTGCCAGCCTGGCTGAAACATTGTAAGGTAGTCTGGATGTCAGCATATATTTGGCAGGAAATTCCTCAGAGCTCAAATTTGCTGCAGTCATTATTCCTCTATACTGAGGACTTTTCTGGCTCAAATTCTCCAATTCTGGAAGTCCTTTCAAATGCACATTTCCTTCTAGCTCATCACTAAGTGTTACAAAAGCTTGAATAAAAGAATACCTTAATCCCTACTGTCTAAAAAGATGTGCCACTTGTTTTAGATATCTAAATTTCAGAGGATTCTGCAGGCAATGTGAATAAAGATATTTTCTTGGTTTCCTGACTCTTGGTGAAGCAAGAGATTGCTGCTGCTATTTGTGCCATCCATGTTTTCTGTTCAAAAAAACACATAGATATATATGGAGAGAGAGAGAATGTTAAGCTGACAATTTCTCATATTGGATTAATATTCTGTATTTATTGAGTTGCTTTTTAAAACGAGGACTAATGAAACATTTGCATGTTTTCTATTTTCTTAAGTCTAATATAAATACTTCTAATTTATATGAAGATGCAAATGGTTAAATGAATACAGTATGCAAGTTGGATATAGAGTCATGAGTAAACAAGGAACCATAATAATCAGTGGTTACTAATTAGAAAAATGAGCACTGAGAATATCAATAGTTTGAAGTTGAATTCCTTGAATTCACATTTTGTGTGGAAATAGAAGTTCTTAATGAGTGGCATGATTTGAAAAACAGGCTGAGGGGAGTGAGCCAGGAAACTGAGCCCTTAATAATGCAATCTTGCATTAATGATCTGGCCACATTGTTGCTCTGATGAAAGGCTACCAGGGGAAGACAAAAAATGAAAACTTCTGAGAAACCAGAGTTAAACCAGAAACCAGGCAGCTGCTCCTCAGCATCCTAGTTGTAGCAACAGTGGTACCATTTGAAAAGTGGAAGAGAAGACTTGACATGGTTTAATACTGCATTATTATATCCCTCACTTAAGCGGACATCACATTATTTGCATACTGGGACTTTGGAAGTTGATGGGAACATTTTAAAAGTCAAGCATGCAATCCAAAGTAGTTCTTCCCCCATTCCTGTAGAAACTGCAGAAATCAGATGCAGTTCTTACTGCTGCAGGAGAAAATGAGAGGCTGTGTCACCTCTGAGATTTTTGAGCATGATAGGGACTAGATGTCCATATCTTTCCCCCTCCTAACTTCTGTGCTTCCCAAAGTGGGTGAAGGAAAACACAAACTTTCCATTCACCATTACTGAAGAGGCTTGGGGTGAGAATTTTCCCTTACGTCAGGTGTGAATAATCAAAACCTACAAAATTGAAATACATACTTTGGTGTTTTCCGTTTGGGCTTGTAGTAAGAACGCTGCTATACACTGTCGGTATCTGTTTTCATGTTGTATAAGGAAAGCATTTCTCAGCCCAAAGACTAGAAAAAGATTACAAAGACAAAAAGCCAAATCAGTTAGTATGAAATCCAAACAGTTGCTCAGTATAAGAACCTGGACTTTTTGTTTATTTTTTATGTAAATTACCAAAAAAAAATCAGATTCAAAGACCAAGATTTCACTACTATGTCCAAATAGATCCACCTAACTATGAAAACTTCATTTCTTAGCTAACAGTAACTTCTGGCTCAAGTGATGGAAAATGGGCACTTCTTAGAAGAAGCTTAGCATATTGGGTGGATTTTGTGTGTTTGAAATACAGATAATAAAAATATGAGAAACTATGTTATTGTTTCTTTTTTGACCCCTACCATTCTTTTTAAAAATGTTTTATTGATTTTTGTATTTTTAAAGAGAAGTCACATCAAAACGAGCTATACACAAGATGTGGCAAAACACAAAGCCAGCTGAACATACCAGGACAAGAAAAGCCAAAACATCTACTAAACAAATCCAGCCTCCACCAAATTAAGTGAAATATGAAACAAAACAAAACAGACAGAAATGTTGGCCTGGTTTCTGGGTTTGCAGAAAACCTGTCTCTTCTGTCATTTCCTAGCTGGTCTGTTAAACAAATGACAGAAGATACCGGGAGAACAAATATTTTTAAAAATTTGAAGGAGCTCTAAAATGAATGCTGCTGCTGTGAACTATTAATACAAGGCAGGGAATAAAATTCTGCAGCCACTACATTGTTTTCTACTCTCTATTTATGATTAAGAACAAAATAAAAGACAAGCCATGGTGGTCTTCCGGTTATAACCAGGGAACGCTTCAGAGAAGAGGGGGGCGCTGACTTACGCTCCCGACTCATCATGAAGCTGATGCTTGTCCACTGCCATTATTTCTGTTTATTGAAATCTGTGGATTTAGCTCAGACTCATGGAGGCAGTATGGGCCTCATGTCAGAATCATAGCAAATGTGAGACTTTTTATTTTCTTAATTGCGAGAACTATTCCAGAATCACAGATACTTCAACTGTCTAAACCTCCTAATTCCTAAGTTCTACCATCACACAGTCCATAAGGCCATGAAAGTTTGTTTAACTCTGTTGGGACAAGAGGACTAGTAAAATGACTTTCTGTACAAAAGGTCTGGCTGTGTTTGTTTCACTCCTGATATTTGTCCTTATAAATTACATGAAGCAAGTGATGCTTGAAAGATCAGGTGGTGGTTCTTGGCTGGATTTTGGAATCCATTTTCCTAAAAAATTGTAACTAGTTCTCAGTAATTCAAGGCGTCATTATTTGTTAGGTACAAGGGACTTTGTAAGCAACTGTACCTGGTATGGCTAGGCTTGTAAAATTAAATGGGATAATATAAATGGGAAACATTTCATATAAAATTAAATAGGTCAGGAGTAGCTCTTCTCCCCCTGACATTCTAATACAATAATATAATAATTGACACCAGTTATTCAGCACTTACTATGTACTGGGCACTGTGATGATTTTTCTCTTTTTTGTGTCATTTAAACCATGAAGCAACCATATAAGATGGGGTAGCTAATTCCCACTTACAAGGGAGGAAACAGACTTAGATGAATTTTTCCAAGGTCGCACAACTTGTAAATGATACACTAGGATTTGAAACTAGGTCTCTTGACATTCGAAAGCACCACCTCTTCTTTTCTTGCCCTTTACTCATTCCCTCACTACAGCTATTTTAACCCATACACTGTATCTGAACGGTCAAAACATCAGGTGAGAGGAACAAGAAGAAAATACATATGTAGAAAAGAAATGAGATGGTAGTGCCCAGAAAAATAACTGGTGGAAGGATAGTTCTAAAAAAGGTATTGTTTTTATTTTTAAATAAAAGGAATAGAGGGAAAAAATGCATCTTCCAAGGTGATCCAGTGATGTCAGATTTACCACAAAGCCAAGGTCTTGGCAGTTGGCAGGGCAGTGACTAAATAAAGAGCCCACGCAGCTTCCACTCTAACCCGTGAAGTTCTGGCAGCTTTCTCCCCAGAAGCTCATTTATCATGCCGGAATCTGCCAACTATGGCCACTGTAGTAAGAATAAATTCCTGCCCTAAATGCCCTCTTCTATAACATTTTTCCCCCAAGAAAACGAACTAGGCAAACTAAAGGAAGTGATTGTGGGCCTTGCATACTGAGTCCTGGCCTATGTGCACAGCTCTGCCATCCACTACACAGGAGAAGATGCACACGGGGTGGGGCTGCACACCCAGGAAGGGTTTTGCTCACCGAGATGCCCCCTTCCGGGCTTGCTCTGGAAACACTCTCACCACAAGTGGTCCCAGCCGAATCAGATACGAGGGCCTTCTGACCTACCCAGCTCTCTGTCCAGCAAGTCTCAGTGGAAGTAGAAAGAATGGACAAAGGCAGATGGCTCTGGTTCTGCGTGTGGGTTTCCCCTTAGTAGAGCCCTCCTGCTCTTGACGAGAGAGTTTGCAGCCTTTCAGCAGTTAACACATGTAAAGCACTACATATCTAGCTTTATTTTATAATGTAACTGTGTCCGAGCTTATTACAGATTCTGGTGTGCATTCATTCATTCATTCACTGTGTAATAAGCTGCTCGGCTATGTAGAGTGTGGACTCGAGCTAATCAGTGAAGCTCTGGGTTTAGCTGCTGGGTTGGCAAATGAGGGGATGGGTAGTGGGCCCCTACCCTGCCTCTCCCTTAGGACAGGAAGGAATCTCCTCCTGCCTGTCTTCTGCTGGCCTCCTTATGCACGTACACTGAGGCAGAAAGACCATCTGCTTCCTCCTGAACACTGCCAGTCTACTCTGCACTAAGGAGACTAAAATATTCTTCAAATTCCTTTTGTGACATGATTTACTGATTTTTCATTATTCTGAGAGTTCCCCAAGAATGAGGGCTGTTGCTCATTCATCCGTAACTCCAGGGTGCCCACAGAGTGCCTGGTTCTCAGGAGACACTCAGAGATGCTTGAAAAAATGACTAAGATATATATACCTTATTTATATATAAATGATTGTGTGTATATATACATATGAGCATGTACACATATATGTTTATTTCTGAAATATATCTTTTCTGGAGCTATTGTAATAAAATATCTAAGGCAGCATAGCATGCCATGGTTTACCAGGGCTTTAACAATAGCAGTGGTACTAGTAATGATAACATAATAACTACTGAAAAGAGCTATTTCTTGAGTGCTTTACATGAATTATTTCATTTAATTCTCATGGCAACCCACTGAAGTAGATATTATTATTCCTATTTTACCAAAAGGAATCTGTGGCTTAGAAAATCTAAGTGCTGTACTTGTGGTCACACAGCTAGCAAGTGGCAAAGCTCTGTCATCCCATTGGAAACCAAGTCCAACACTCTTCATAACCAGTTCATACAGTGAGTGATCTATGGCCACATAGGGACTCAATATTGTCTTTGATGAAGATTTAAATTGCATTCATCTCATTACCTAAAAAAGACCAACAAAAGCTCTGTGATGGCAGAAAAGCCGAATGATGAAAATTGATACATACCTGACACATGGAGTGGATCGATACTTTTGACCACCAATCTATCTAGTGGAATGGGCTGATCAAGAACTGTACACGAACCACCCTCTTTTATTACTGTTTGCAACTCGAGAGTAAGTGAAGGGCACATTAAACCAGTGTCCGAGCCTCCAAGTTTCTGAAAGTGAAGAGGAAAATAATGTACAAAATAGGAAATAAATATGGATGCATATACCAAAAGTGTATCCTTAACCAAATTAATTTTTTAGAAACAATTGCTTGAAATCCAGCTTGCTATTCTTTCTGGAATTTGAAAAGCATTTCCCCAAAGTATATGGTGATTTGAAACTTTAAACATAGTGTTTCTGGCCCCCCAAGTTTAATGACCTTCAAATAATGGGTGATGTCCATAATTGGGAAACATTTTAAAACATCACATCAATGGGAAGATGTTCATTTCTAGAATCTCTCTACAGCACTGAGTTGGATGAATGAGAAAGGGGAGCCTCATTTCAGTCAACTCTGGGATGTCTAACACTAAACTTTCAATGCAGTCCTGTATGATTTGTGAATAACTGAATTAACTTAAGAAGCTGGATATATAAGATGCTGAATTTTCTTAAAAGGATGTCAAAGGTTGTGACTTGCGTGATGTGCATTAAATAAGAAAGAGGAATTAAGTTATATAGCGTGAAATCTGACTGTTGCCTCATAATATGGTCACTATGCCCTACATTAATTCATGTGCTTTGATTTGTGCCATAATTTGACGTGAAGGTGAGCCATGCTGGAGTTGAGGTTTTTGAAGGGGATCGAGAATTTTCAGAGCTTGGGTAGCTTAAAGTAGGAGGCCTTCCAAGTTTCACAACTGCAACTTTTAATATTCTGCAAGACCCAATTCCACCCCAACCACCCATCAACTATTCATAGATTGATTAATGGGTGTCTATTTTATTGCTCAAAGATCCTTAAATTATTTAGCTCCACCTACCAACATGCCATCTAGAAGCTTAGGTTATTAAAAGATATGAGATATCTAGTCTCATGATCTTATATCTGTAAGGCTAGTCGTTTGGGGCAGAAGTGAGTCAGGTGACAGATTATTAAATAACTGACGGCTTATGACATATTGCAGCTCCTCCTCCCACCTCTACAGGCAGGGGTCTGAGAACCTTAGAGCTGGTCCCCTTCCTGCTGCCATTGACATCTGCCATTCAGGGAACAGACTATAAGTGGGAGGTCAGAGAGAAAGCCTTTAGTGGCTCATGAGGCCCGTGGCTTAGTGGATAATGGTAACCAATAATACTTAATAACAAGAATAATGGTAACCAATAATACTTAAGTAATGGGAAGAAGAGACTTTGGTCTGTGATGCCAGCTATATGTGTGTTAGGCTTCTACAGTTCTCACATACAGGTAGCCATTGAAAGGTCAGACCTCCCTTCTACCCCTGGCCCCCAAGTCAGCATTTCTCAAGAATGTGAGCTTCCAAATCAGAATGAGTGGTGGCTGTCACCTCAACACATGACAGCAGACAGTTTAGAAAGACCCCTTCTTCTGGCAGCTTGCATCATGGTGGACAATTTGGATAAGGAAAGGGCCAATATAGGCGAACATATTTTAGATTCGTTTGCTTAGGCTGTGCCTTCCAGGACTTACCTTGAAGTATGCAGACTGAGTCACTGTAAAAGGTACATAACTTTGGACATCCTTAGGAAATGTAACTCGCTATTATGGCTGGTTTTCAGGTCAGAGCAATATGACTGAAAAGCCACTGGTTTATAATGCCTCCATGTTTTAGGAGGTGAAATCACATTTATGTATGAGAACCTTTTGGTTTGTAACAAAACTTTAGAACCTTATTTAGTTTATTAGTCCTAAACTTCCTTAGCAGACATCTTTAGAAACAGCAGCAATTTACCTTTTTGTTGCGCTTCATTTTTGTAACCAAGAGGAAATCATCGAAGAGAAACAGATAAACATCTAGGAATCTTGTGCTTTCTGAGGAAAGAAAGTAGGTGAAATTCGGGCTGGAAATAGGAGGCAGATGTCTCATTTTGTTTTTAATCAAAAGCTCCCTTAAAAAACGAAGTGGGGCAGCGTCAGGTCACACCTGGTTGCAGCTTAGGAAGCCCCACCATTGAACTGATTTCTCCCTAAAGCAGAGACCTGAGGTGAGCCCAGGCTTCCAGCTTTGAAGACATTCTATTTGTGGTGCATTTCCTGTGACTCTGAGATAACTCAGATGCTATTTGTGATGGCTTCAGCTAAGCCTAGGGACATACCTATGGATGTGGAGGCCAATTTTGGAGGGAAAGGCATATGCTGGAACTACAGAGTTGTGGTGTGTTCCATTATTTTGATATGGTTTTGTCACAATCTATATTTTTGAAGTCATTAATGTCATAGAAGAAAATTGTTATCTTTCCAAATAAAAGTGGGATGGGAGATGGTCTACAGGTTAAGAATGGCTGAGAAACAGAGGCCTGGCCTCTCCTCATTCACCTGCCTCACTGTGGAGGTTCCTGACTGGCCCCTCTGCTTCCGTCTCCCCCTCTACACCATGTCTTCCCATACCTCTTTTTTCAGCAACCTTTTAACCCTATCACGTCCCTGTCCAGGACACAGGGACTTCTTGCTGCCAGCAGTGTCCTGGCTGAGTCCCTCTGTTTGGCTTCCAAGGCAGTTGCTGTGAATCTGGAAGCCTGCCAGGCTGAGGCAGCTCCGTGTGGGTCTGGATTCTGCTGTTTATCTGCCAGGTGCCCCCAAGCATGACAGGGAACCTCCCCGAGCTTCAGGTTCCTCACTTATTACAGGGGATTACATGGAATTTCTCTGCCTAACTCACTGGAAGGAAAAAATGCATAAAAGCCCCTTGATATAAAAAGCTGGCATGTCTGTTTTCCCTAATTGGTAATAAACAGGTGGGGGTTTTGTACTCCCAGCCTGACATCTAGTTGTATACTGACAATATAGCAGAATTTTAACCGTGTCTATGGAATAAAGGATTATTGCCCAGCACCTACCTGCCACATGCCAAGCTACCATAAAATGCAACCTCACATCACACAGGGCTTCACACACAGTAGGTGCCCGATCAAGATTTTGTGCAATGAATGAAGATTTTGTGAAATGAATAAATGAATGAAGGCAAATCTTATTACAGTCAGGCAGCCCTTTCTGATCATCACAGATCAGAGCACTGGCTCTGTGCCAGCCATTCTTTCAAGTGCTTGTCCATCCATTAGCCCATTCAATCCTCACCACAAGGTAGGGAATTTGCAGCAGGGGACACTGGGGTAACTTGCCCAAGGTTACACAGGCAGAAAAGGTGGAGCCGGGAAGCGAGTCTGCCAGTCAGCCTCCAGGGCCCACCCTCCAAACCAGGCTGTAGAGCTCATACCCGCAGGTGGCTTCTGCCTCCAGCCTCTTCTCCTGCTGTGTCTCATCCGGGGTGTCCTCCCTCCTGTCCTTCCACTGACACCCACCCTTCTAGTGCCCCAAGCCCACCTCCAGTCCCATGGACACCAAGCCTTCCCTGGGTGCTCCAGCTTCACAGACCCACTTTTATGAACTTATACTGCAGGTCTGCTCATGATGGCAGAGCTCGCCAGCTGGAGGGAAAGATTATACAGAACAATTATTTCATCTCCTCTGATGGTACATACCCAGCACAATATGTGCTACACAATAGGTTCTCATGAACACTGGAGCTGATCCCCCAGATGCTTGCCCAGCGCACTGACAGCAGCCAACAGCGAGTGTTTCCTACATTCCATGAGTGAAGCCCTTCGTGTTTGTTATTTCGTCTCGACAACAGTCTTATGAGATAGACAGAGTTGTCCCACTTCACAGAGAGGAAATGGAGGGTTGTAGCTAGCTGTGTTTGTGAGGTCTCTGATCAAGCTCGAGTCTGCTGAGCCCACAGGATGCTCTCTGTCTGTTTCACATCTCCCACTGCCAAGGCCACAGACAAACACAATTCCTCCCACTGTGAAGTTGGCAACAAGTTCTAAGGTAGCAAAGATGTTGAGTTCTTAAATGGGGCAGTTATTTACCTGCAAGAGTTAATTTCCCTTCATAGAGAAGGTGTCTGTTGGTTGGTGACAAGATGCTTTCTGCCATGTGTTCTTTAAAAATATGTTTCAGGCACTTGCAAAACAAGAGAGGTGTTATTAGTGACTGGAAGAGAACATATCCCAGGAGGTGGGGAAATGGACCCTGTCCAGGAAATTCATGACATCTGGAAATCCCAGCAGGTGGGCATGGGGATGGGAAATGGTGGGAAAACATCTCAGAAAGATCACCCTAGGGATGGCAGGATGACGCCAGCATCCCACATACAATGCCACATAGGTGAAGGCTTTACTTCTTACTCATAAAACCAGGTGTATTATTCAAGTGGACAGCCGGGGACTTTGTATGACTAGTGCATTCACACCTAAATGTCAAACTTCCAGAAAGGGATGTAAGTCCTAATTGATTCTTTTTGTACCTCTGGAATAAAAAATCTTTTGTCTCTCTCCCAAAGCGGAGGCCACACTATAATCTCCTGTAGATGTCTACATTTTTGGAAATTGTCAAGCCACTTCACTTTTCCTTCAAGATCCCCTGAAAGACAAGACATATCCAATATATTTTTTAAGGCATGTGACATTATAGCTTACACTGTAACCAAGATCCACAATAATCACTTTGTGGACTGCTCCTGGAGTCAAACCGTATCTTAGGTTCAGGTAACATATTGCTTATTGTTTAAATGTCTTAGAAAAACTCACTAAGTTGAAATCAGCCTCTTGCAGAGAAAAATGAAGCTTAACTAATTTAATTCAGTATACTGGAAATGAGTTGCATATTTTATTTTAATAATATGAATAAAGCCCTTTTGTAGTAGCTTTGTCTTATTCCTTACACCACATAGTCTATATATAATTAGAGGAAGAAAAAGGATCATATGAACAAAGACAAAAATCTCATCCTAATCATAAAATATACATTGGCTTCGTGATAAGGGTGATTCTTTCTTTTTGGTAAGAATACATGTTCTCTTTTGAAAGTTGGCATTAATTTTCCAAAATTTTCTAAGAAAGTATTGCTTCTGAAGTTTTGAAATGACTTTTGGAAGCATGGAGGGCAAGTCATAGATCCAGAATCACACAGTGGGTAGTGTCATTGAAAATGATTTATCATCTTTAAGCTCAAACTTAAAGGAAGGCCACAGAGATCACTTCCCCTTTTTTTGAGAGAGAGATCCTTTCTCTTAACAATAAGGATCCATACCTTCCTGAGAAATCTCCAGAAGAGATGCTATTATCTTCCTCACAAACCTATCAAAATGAGTAATAATCTTCAATTTTACTTTAAAAGTTTTAACAAGTTGGCCATTATAATTGTACTTTTGTCTTATTCATATGTTAAGCCTAATTCTAGTTCCCAGGTAATTTTAGAATTGGAACAAAAAATTTAAAAGGAGGAAAGAAACTTCCAATTGAATGGTCATTTTACTTTCAAACTTGCAAAAGAAAAAAATATTTCATTTTCCGGCAGCTGATAATCACTGTTGAGTTGTTCCTTTTTGATGCATCCCAGAAAATCTTGGTTTCTGGGCATCTATCACGGACTTCATTATTTGAATTTAATTATACAGAGTTCTACCAGTAAGTGTAAGGCATCATAGGGCTCGCTAGTTCCTAGCCCCAAATCTTAGTTCTAAAGATTGCAGTTGGCTTTAATTTTAGATTGGCCCTGGATTTTAGTAACTTATAAAAATTGATGCATGGTAATTTATCCTCCAGAAAGGCTTCCCACGATGTTTATCCCCATTTGTTTTGCATGTGGCCTCAGTGTGGACATGAAAAACAAAGTGCCTTCAATCATCTGGGAAGTAGAACGTTTCCTGCCTGAACTCCCTTCCGAGAGCCTTGAGACAGAGCCACGTCCCGCATGAACTTGGTGATAGAGCTCTCACAGGGTTTGTCGGGATGTGGCCAGAGCCCATGGTTTTGTGTGTGTTTGATTTATAATACACTCAAACTCAAATCCACCTTTCCAAGAACCATGCCCTCAAGTCAGTGGAATCACCTTCTAGGATGGAAGCCCAGATGGTTCACCGGAGCCACAGGGACCCCTGACTCTTTGATTAAGCTTACACTGGAGCTCTGGGTCACTTTTCTCAGGGACTTACGGATCGACTTTTCCACCTTTTCTTTGATGGAGTAGATCATGATTTTCTCCGTAGAGTCTGTACTCCTTTTCCAGATATTCCTCAGCAACAAGGGGTATCGAGTCAGCCTGTGCAGTGGTGCCACTAGTAGCTCGGGCAGGTGAAGCCGTCTGCACTGCTCATTTTGCTCACACCACTGGGGAAGACAAAAGCAGGCATATCAGAAAATCACTTCTGCAAGGCATGGAGAAGCCGGGACACGAGAACGTCTCAGAGACTGCGTTCAGTACTGAGAGGGCCACCTGGGAGCCTCCTGGGACAGGTGATAAGCCACAGACTAGATTCTGCTTTTGAAAATTTCATATTGAACTGCCTTTAGCAAGCTTCCATCTACCAGCACCAAATTCAGGGTCTGAGATGGGCGTTTTACATGTGGTTAAGTATTACTGAATATCACTAACATTATTTTCCGATTAAAGAAATGAAAGACTTCTTCAGATGTCTTGGGTTCCCAGTACTGGTGATGATGGCAGCAGGCATCAGCAGTATCATTAACTTAATCTTCTTAAATGGGGACTTCATCAAGATTTTGATAAACAGAAAAAGCTTGAAATTTGTTAAATCTCCTAGAGAATGCATGTTCCATCAGTGACAGTGATAAAGTCAATATACATGTTCCAGCTTTGTTGACCCTTCTCACTGAAGAGTTTACTTTTTCCCATTCGCTTCCTCCTTCTCCCTGGCCCTTGGAGGAGATTCCTGGTTTTGCCAGCTCTGTTCCCTTCCTCACTGTGATGCACAGTTAGGAGAACTGAGAATCAACACTGGAGGGTTAGAAGGAAAAAGGAATGGATTTTATGTGCCGGGTCAGTTCGCTGACTCTATTTCTGGGGAGAATCAGGGTAATGAAGAGAAAATGGACATGGAAGTCAAGGGAGGGTAAATGGATCTGCATGATATACCACAGAGAGAGGAGAGGGGTGAAGACACAGACAACTTTCCATAGAGAGCATTTGCACAACGAGGAGGGAGTCGCAGGGAGAATGAGTGCGGGGAAGACGGGACAAGGGCTTCGGGAAGGACGGCCATGGGCCATATGCTGGGCTTTCCATAAACTGCGTTTGAGCAGCGCAAGCACATATGAGAACAGCTCTGCCATGTGTTTCACCCGCTGGACCATTTCTTGGAATGTGACACCGTCTTGAGCCTGAGGGGCCCCAGCTCCTGTGCAGGTGACACGCGATGTGTGAAGCCAGGGCGCTGGCCACCGTGCGCGCAGGCACAGGAAGTGTCACGAGGGGGTGTGCTCCCTTCCTCTTCTCTTCTCCCACCCCGCACACCTGAGTTCTGCCGTAAGAGGTCCTGACCTCACACTGACTACTTTTCTTGCTGTAGGCTATTGCCTCTTCTCCTTCTTTTATGTCCAGTCTAGGCTCAGTGAACACCTTTGTCTCATGGCCTAGACCCTTCAGGGCCAGTCAGGAGGGCCAAGGTACACCTCAGAGGCCCCCCGCCTCCTCCAAGATAGCGTCACACCTCTGCATGCCCAGGTGTCAGTCTTTGCACTTGGATCGAGGTACAGTCGGCTCAGACTCCCACCAAGCTGATGGGCCGTGGGTGTCCGCAGGCCTCCTGTAGATGTTTCCAAACTCACTGAGGGAGGCTGAGATTCCTGTGGCCTCCTCTGGCCCCTGGACGTTTCTTTCCTGAACAACATGGGCCAAATCCAAACTTAGTCCCTTGGTTAGTTTCCTATGCTGGTTTGCACTGTAAACCCGCTCATGCTAAATGTTTTATGAGTGTATATATTTATTTTACTGAGTATTTTGGGTTGCAGGGATGGGTCAAATATACAACCTGTGGGCCTCCCACCATTTTGATGGCCCCATTCTCTTCTTTGGAAAGAGAGAGCTCTTTCTCTTCCCCACCTGACTTTCCCTGCTTTCCCTAACCTCATGCTGAGCAGTTTGCCCTTGTCCGTCATAGCTTGTCCCTGGGGGGCTTGTCCTTCCACACTAGCAGCTTTATCGACATATTTCTTCTGAAAGCATCCAGAGCTCCTCCTCACAGGAATCCTGTCAGACGTGATCTTTCCTGCATCCCTACGTACAGATGGCACGTCATGCAGGTGAGCATGAAGTCAGGCTTGGGGGCTCGCTGGGGGACCACCCTACCTTCTCTACCTCAGATTTCTTTTCTGTAAAATGTTGGAAGGTACTAGCTGACCTCCAAGTTCTCATCCAGCTCAAAATGGCTGTGAATCTCCAGAGGCTGGAAGGGGTGGAGAAGGCAGCAGGCTCTGCCAGTGTGGAAGGGCTGGGGGGGAATGAGTGGAAAGAAGAGGTGGGGCCAGGCCATAGTCTGTGGCCTTCACAGCTGGTTTCCATGCTAATTCACTGGCAGCAGCATTCCAGCTGGGGTGGCCAGGAGTTCCAACAACCGACATAGCAGCAGTTAGGGAGTTTTTCGAAACACACAGTCCTGGCCACTATTCCAAATGCCCAGGCCGTAGGGAACAGCTCGGGCCGTCAGCACCCTCTGGTATTCAGGGTAAATGCGAAAACACCCAGTCTCCCCCAGGTATCACAGAGGCAAGAAATATCAATGGTAAATAGTTTAGAGAAGGATCCAGGCAGGGATATTGGAAGCTTTTAATGTTTTGGAAGGTCTCAGAGGAGAAACAAAAGATATTGGATGATTCTAAATGCAGCAGTTAAGTTTCTCATTTATCCTTCTATTGGCTTTATTTTTCGGGCCCAGGAAGAAGAGAACATCTCTGTTATGAGAGATCAGACATAAACCACCTTATTATGGGTGGGTCTAGATCAATAGAAGCTGCTCTTATTTTGTAATAAATATCCAATGTGTTTTGAAGAACAGTGAAAGGAATTCAGGGGCCCAAATAAACTGTTCTCATGCATTTGTCTTTGGTCAGATGTGACACTGGGTTGGGCAGCCAGCATTCTTCAGTCTTGGGACATTTATTTAAACTCTCTAAACCTCACCTGTGAAATGTGGAAAACAAGAGTAACTGCCTCCTCGGGTCGGTGAGAGGTTTTAATGAGATAATCCATACAAAGTGCCCAGAATAGTTCCTGGCACATGTCGAACGGTCAGTCTACAGTAGGTAGAAGTTCTTAGCAATTGTTAGTTGAACTGCACTAAAAGACCTGGTACAAAGTTCCCAGTGTTTTTCTCCGTATCATCTTAACTGTGTTTGAGGGAGCAGGGAGAATTCTGCACCCATCTGTGGGCACCAAGGAACCATACAGACGTTCATAAAGCCCTGCCTCACATGCATGGAGGGCAAGTTCATCCCAGTGCTCCCACAGCCCAATTGCAGGCAGTCCATAACACGACACAGATTTCACTTCTCCAACAATGTTGTTTATATCACAGCAAAGCGGGAGAATGAAGAGCAGCTTCAAACGAGTTTGAGTTCAAATCCCAATTCCGCCCCTAAACAACTGTATCTTTCAGTAAGTTGCCTGATTTGTCTTAGCTCCTGAAAAATGGGGATAATAGCTAAACCTCACAGGGTTATTGTGTAGACAAAGAGGTTGTAGACGATCAGCATGCAGCATAGAGCTCAGCTGTAGCAAGGGCTTGAGAACCAGTCACCTTTATCATCATTTATTATATTATCATTTATTATGTACCATCACCATATGTTATGACTACTTTATTTATTATATTAAAATCATGATATCTATTATATACTATAATTATATATTATTATTAGCTATTTATGGTGGTTTTTTCTGTCCTCTGGGGCTGCGGGAAGCAGATTCACCTTCAGCTCCTCCACAGTCTCTCTGACCCTTCACCTTTCATTAACAGTTTCCCAGCAATGGCAACTAGCCCTGAGAAGTTGGAAGTGGTTCTGGTGTAACAGCACTGGATTTTTTTGCTTGAAGACCTTTATCTAAGTTTTTTTCTGCCACCTATTGGCCAGATGACCTTGCAAAAGTCAGGTGACCTCTCTAAGCCTCAGGGACACAAGGAGACAATGTAAACAACTTTGCGCTAAGGATTAAAGGAGATATTTGAGAACATGCATGGTAAAGCATTATGCATTATAAAAGTATTGTATGTTATCATTACAACATTACATCCTCTATTCCTTTTCCCTAAATATCTCTGGATGCTAAATATGTCTCATGTATAAATGTAAAGCATCCTTTTATGTCACAATGCATAGTGGATTTTCCACAGTTATTTGGTAACGGTAGCTAAATCTTGCTAAATTAATCTCTGCCCTAGCTCGGTAGCGAAAGAAATGGACTTGGATTCTCTCCAGTCTGGGGGCCTGGCTAGGAGTCTAATCTATCAGTTTCTAGGCAAAACTTTTGCAGTTGGATTACTTATACATTTGGAAACCTAATGAGCTTTTCAGTTTTCAGCTTGAGTAGCAAAGAAAAGACTAAAGGCTGAAGCCACCAAAACAGGGCCAAATGCCTTCGCCAGGAGCATTCCCCTTGCCTGCACCACATGCAGGCACCCTGGCCCATCTGGACATAGCAGTGGCACCCTGGTCCTCAGCTAAGTCATTGGGAAATATGGCAGCCCTTCCTCCCATTCCTCTGAAGTGATGTTCTGGCAGGGGCTTCTTGCAGCTGCTAGAAGAGCTGATTTTCTGGGAAGGCTTGGACCATTTTCTCTGGATCATACGAAGGACTCTGGCATAATACTGAAAAGGTACAATTCAGACTAAAGAAATGTCAAAGGAGTCGTCAAGGGAAATATGGAAATCAAAGAAAATTCTTTTCCAGGTTTGCTTATGGCAAATGCTGAAGGTGCCCAGCAGAAATTCCTTGCTCTAATTCTTTGGGTCCTGAGGCCACCACATTGTACAGCTCCAGGGCAATGTTTACATTGTGCTCTGTCATGTGCTCTAGGGGGCGCCATTCATGGAGAGTGAGGGTAAAGGGTTCCCCAGGCTTTTGTGCGTAGGATCTTGCTGGGATCAAATCCTACAAGAGCCATACTTCGAGTTGCAAACAAAGCCTTGGTTCTTATTCTAGTTTTCGTCTTACAATGTACCAATTTCTTCCACAAACAAACCAATGAACAAGTATTGTTAAGCCCCAGCCAAAATTTCAGGGGGGATATTAGATGATATAATGTTTCCAGATGTGCACGATATGTAATTCCTAAGTGTGCAGTGGACAATGTACTTACCAGGAACACAGACTGTAGTTAAAATGTATTGTTCATAATTAATTTTTCTTGGTTTCCATTTAATTTGGGTATAATAATTCCTAGTACCTTTTACATCCAAAGAGTTGCAGGAAAAATTTAAAAGAAAAGAAAAAGGGTACTTTACTTTCAAATAAATTCCAAAGTCGTCTCTTCGCCTCAGGCTCTCAAGGTAAAAGACAGCGGCTGAGTAGTTCAGGCAGTAGGTCTGGTGGCTCTGACAGAGGCTGCCTCGGAAATCCTGCAGGAGGAGACCAGCAGGAGGATCAACAGAAGGAAGGCGAGCAGAGGTGGACTTTCTTTCGTGTTCACTTTTCTTATTAACTAGAACCGGGGGAAGGGGAGCGATCGCCGTTATCAAGCCAGAACTATGACTGAGTGGACAGAAACAGCCAATCTTCACAGGAAACATTCTTTTTTTTTTTTTTTAAATGGTATTCTTATAGTAAACAGTTAACTCCTGGATAAATCATCCCCCACCCCCCAACCCCACACACTTAAAGTTCTATTGGGGATTTCTTGATTTAATTCACCCTTTACCTCTGTTTATGTTGAGGCTTCCCTGCCCTGCAAAACACCGGATAACAAATACTGACTTTGATCTCAGTGCTCACGGGAGTTGATGTTAGGCTTGTATCGGTCGTAAGTGATTTAAGTAACAACATTTGACTTTCCATCAGATCTTTCTCAAAAATATCCATAAATTTAATTCTCCTGCTGGCTTCTAAAAATGTAGTCAAATCTGGGGTCCCTCTACTAAATGCACTGTTTGGTGGCATGCATTTTGTACAGCAATTGGACCCAAGCTAATGCTTGTTTTCCCTTTTCTTCATTATTCTTACTTAATGTCTTAAACTTGCTATAATGTCTGTACATTTGTAAGCCATCTCAAACTTATTTTAGAATAAGGCATATGGCCAATTTGTATGTATATATTCATGGATATGAGGGTCAAACCGAGCACACAGTGCCTCGCGCTGTCATCTCAGTGAAGCGACTTTGTTGAGAATGACAGTCACTGTTCTCCCTTCACCAAGGTGCCTGGCTGTTACTGGCAGACCCTCTCTTCAGGATTCCGTAGTGCTACCAGGTTGCTAAGCCTGTGTGCTCCCTGATCGATGTATTGATTAATATGATGTGTAATGGGTCCCACGAAGGAATTTCCAACAGCGTCATGATGTGGTGGAGAGAGGGAAAGAAGACATACTTGTTGGTAACGTAACTACAGAGAGTAGAGAAAGCAGACCTTGCCTGAAAGGCGACTGAGGGACGTGGCAGTAGTTAGGAAAGAGATGAGGAAAACCTAGACAAATATTTTGTGACAGGACCTCCGAGGATAAAATGCCATGGGGAGAAATGTCAAGTTCCAGCTTCAGTAGGAAGTAATTTGAAAGACGATGGTGTGAGCTTATTTTTGAGGGCAGGGGTGCTGATAGCTGATTTTCCAGGAAAGAGGAGTTGGAAATAAAGAGAAGGTCTTCTCAAAGCAAGCTTGCGACACACCATCACTTAGGAGGCGATTGTTAAAACCATTAATGGTTAGGCTGAGAAATCCAGTTTCATAAACCGTTAGCTGTGTGACCTTGGGTAAACTCCTTAGCCTCTCCAAGCCTCAGTTTCCTTCTCATTGACTTGCTCAGAGGGCTTGTGTGTCAATAACAAATGTGCCAGTCTTCTACCCGTGAGCCTCTGATGGTGGTAGGCTGTTTCACTATCCATCTAGTCCCTGCTAGGGTTGTAGCATGTTTCCGCTCCACCGATGGTAAGCTTGGCCATGTGACTTTCTTTGGCTGATGAAATGTGAACGGCATGCCATGTGCTGCCTCAGACAGAAACCCGAAGAGGCAGAGTGCTCTGCCCCAGTGGCTCGTGTTTGTGCCTTGGTGACTGGTAACATCCCAGCGGTGGCTGCCCTCTGAGCACGCGTCCAGAGTGAGGATAATGACGAAGTGAAAATGCGAGTGAGATACAAGCCAAGGCACTGAGACTTGGAGAGTGTTTCTGCAGGACAATTGAATCTAACCTGACCAATAGGGGCCCTCCTAAATTTAGGGGGTGCAGTTTTAACCCATGTTTGCTTATCTGTAAGATAATAGGAAGCATTTGTATGTGGGTTAGGCTATAGACCTTTATTTTAGCAAAGAGTCTATTAGTGCACCATGCTTTAGTAGGCATGGACTGAATAACTGTGTCCCCCTCAAATTCAGGTGTTGAATCTCACCTCCAACGTGACGGTATCAGGAAGTGGGCCATCCTGGAGGTGATTAAGTCATGCGGGTGGAACCCTCATGAATGAGATCAGTGCTCCTATGAGAGAAACCTCAGGGGGCGCTCGTGCCCCTCCCACCACGTGAGAGACACAATGAAAAGTCTTCCACCCGGAAAAGGGCCCACATTTGGCCCTGCTGGCACCTTGATCTTGGACTTCCACCTCCAAAACTGTGAAAAATAACTTCTGTTGCTTATCAGGCACCCAATCTGTGGCATTTCCTGAAAGCAGCCTGAGCAGATTGAGACAATTTATGTGTTCTGATGAGGATTTGGCATTTCTCCAAACTATTTACTAAAAATTAAATAAAACATTTTCTGATGCTAACAGAAGTGAGAGATCCTGAGATTTTAGCTAATGCCCAACACTTTACAATCTCTCTCTTGTTTTTCAAAGCTCACTAAGGGATCTCCCTACTTCCCACCTAACTTCCTGCTTGTTAAAGCCTCCACCTTCCTATCACACCTTGAGCATCATTGCCCCCATAAAGAATTTTCCCCAAAAGAATCTGTAACTACCTCCCATACCTCCCACTTACCCCAACCTAGAAGCTTTCCTTATAATATCTATTTTTCTCCAGCACTGATCTCAACTGGATTATATAATCATTAGTGTCTCTGATTGGATTAATTTCTCCCCCACTAGCCTGAAAACTTCCCAAGAGCAGGGGGTACGTTTAATTTTGCAGTGTGGTGTGCAGGGTACCAGCCCCACACATAAATACTTAGTGCTCAGTAAATCACTATTCTAGGTTTTTAATGGATTATGAGAATATAAATCTTGCCAAATGAGAATAGACAGGGACTGGATTACAAATCTCAAAGTAGTAAAGTGGGAGAGGAGGTCTAAATACCTACTTGAGAAAGAAATAGCATTTAACAAACCAGGGATACATGTTCTCTTCTCTCCTTCTTGCATACACAAGAGTCTTATTAAGAGTGTTGATGGATTTGAAGATTTATTTTGTTCCTTTCTGAGAGCCTGGCACTTTCAGTAGAACAAATGAACCATGTAATTAGCCTACACAAACGATTGCCATGATCATTGCTTTAAATTGAAGTCATTTTTAAAAAAAGACTTGGAAATGGCTTTTCCATGCATAGGCAGGTTTTTGCGTTAATAAAACCCACCCAGGAGAGGTGAAAATGGAAAAGGAGAATCTGCAGGTTATTTCTGGAAATGTTGGTTGGTGGGGAAAGGGATGGTTCCTCTGTAGGAGGGTGTGGGTGGGACTTCCCCAAGGACAAGAACAGATAAACCAAGGAGATATAAACAGCTCTCCTGGGAAGTGGGTGAATTTACCCTATGAAGCTGAGATGTCCTGGAAGGACTTACCTTTGTGAAAACAGACATGAAATCCATCGATGGTGAAGTCTCAGAAGTGTCGATATAGTCCTTGATGACGCCCCAAAGACTGTTCACAAAACCAAAGCTTGTCTAGGGACAGAGAAAAACAAAACAAGGGTAGGCACACCTCCAGGGGTAAGAAATAAACATTTGGTAAATTTCAAATATCCTTCTTAACAAATGTTTTCCATTTCAAATTTATCTCCTGGCAAAAGTCAAATATTTATTTTCCTCCACTCTCCAGTATATATTTTCTTATAAGCTTTTCTTATAAATAGATTCTTGTTGGTATCTTTCATCTCTTCCTTTTTAGGGGAAAGATTATTTATGTATTGTATGTGTGAGAAAAGGACATTCATTTGAGAATAAACATTTATGAAGATGATGGAGATTTTAGGAATATGTTTCTTCTTTTGTATTTAACATTATTTATTGAGGACATTCATGGATGCGTGTATGCAACATTACTCATTGAATCTTCCACACACTATTCTAGGTCCTCTGGATAAAGCAGTGAGCACGACAGTTTCCTGCATATTTCCTAGAAGGTGTTTCTACAGCTTGTATTCTAAAAACAAATATGGAACACATCACAAATGTGTGTTGTTATCCTTGTGCAGTATCCATGCTAATCTCTATATTGTTCCAATTTTAGTACATGTGTTGCAGAAGCAAGCACTATTTCTATTCTTAGTTTCTTAAATAGCCATGGGAAAGTGAAAAATGTTAGTAAGGCTACCTAATATCTGTAATCTGTTAGACAAGTGTAAATGGGTGTTTAGATTTCCTTCTTATTAACCCAAACTTCTGACTGTAAGATTGTATGGGGATGGAGAATGGACTAAAACATATTCCATATTCTAGTACAGTATGAGCCATAAGAATAGAATAAGCATGAATTTTCATGATCCACTAGTGAATTTTAAAACAGGGGACCAGAATTTTCCATTTGGCTCACCTGACTTAACTCCTCCAGATTTGCAAAAAGTCTCCATAAATCCACATCCAGGAGATATTCATGAGTTTGTAGATATTTTAATGTATTCATGAAGATCTTTAAAAAAAATAAATGCACATGACTTTCTGTTTTTCAATTTTGAAACTTGCCCTTTGTGAGAACATTAAACATAAACCTCCTCCAGAGTATAACTTTACAAAAACAATTTAGAAATCAGTATTTTCAAGGCTTAAAAATTTTACTAAATACAAATGGTGATATTTAAGCTCCATAGAACATATGGGCAATGTGCTCTTCTGTAGGAAGTCATTGTTGCTCATGTGAACCCTCACAACATTCCTGTTGAACATAATCTGTTTAAATGGCTTTTCTCTCCTTCCCTGTGCCAGAGAACTCTCAAAGGTTTTCTTCCTGCCAACAGCACTAACTTGAGACCAAAACAACATTCATTCTGAGTTCCCATTGAGTCCTTCCTTCGTAAAAGACTCAAATGTCCTTTATGTTCAGGACATTAAAAATGGAGAACGAATGAGTAAATATCTGATTAATTGGTAAGATGTTTAGATTTGGATAAAGGCATTAAATATTAATGACAACATTAAGGGAGTCTTTATGTTATTATCATTTGATCTGATACTTTCCTATAAAGGAAAACTGCTCTGTGGCAAGTCAAGAAAAAACTATAATCCTCACAGATAACCTGTTCTTCATTCTAAAAACTAAAGACAGATCAATCTATTGCAATAGGAATATCTTATATATGAATGAGGAAGCATTCAAAGGGACTAATTATTTCCAGAATTTTAAGTGTGAGAAGACTGACTTTATCCTGCGAACCTTCTCCAATTCCTGTTTCCATATTATTTAGTTAATGCAGTCAATGGTTCTTCAACTTGCATAGAACCATCTAGAGACCTTGTTTAACCAGACATTAGTGGGCCCTGCCCTGAGAGTTTCTGATTCAGTAGGTCTCTCACGGGGTCTGAAAAACATCCATTTCTAACAAGTTTCCATGTGATTCTGATGCTGCTGGTCTAGGAACCCACACTATGAGAAGCACTGAATAGAGCCTTCTGAAATTCAAAATACATTTGATATTGGTTGTTTGGAATTCGGTCCATATCCAAGCATTTAAAGCATGTAAGAAACAGAACTCATTGCTACAGATAAAGGAAACTTAGAAGAAATGGCCTTTTTGCTATGAGATTCTTTGTTTTATAAAAAACTTTGCCATTAAAAATGTATTAAGCCTTCAGTACATTTACATTACTATTGAGGTACAATATTCCATTTTACAAGCAATGTTGGGAAACTCATGTTGCTTGAGTAAAGGGAGAGATATATATGCATATACTCCAAATGCCCCAAGACATCTGAAAATAAATGAACTCAAATTGACTTTTTTACAAAGCAGAAAATGCTAGTTTAAAAAGCTTGTGTAGCTTACAGGGGGTTAGGAAGTTCTGTGCTATTTCTGGAGTGCAAGGGAGCAAGTAGAGTTCATGGGGTCACCGACCATCTAGTGGTTATCACAGCTTCAACACCCACTTGCCTCACATCATCATGGTTTTTACCTGAGTCTTCTTTTCCCCATGCCTTGCACGGTCTACCAGACAAGCTAACCTCACTACCAGGGTGGGCCTTGATTGCCTTATGCCAATTAGCCTTTTTCTCCTTATCAGAGCAACTGGTTCAGGAGCAGTCATGTGATTTAGGCCGGTCCAATCAGAATGAAAATCATGCCTTGGCTGTGAATGCTGAGACAAGGTTCTGTCTATGTTTCTTTCTGTTTCCATCCCCTCAAGGACAGCAGCTGTTCAGTGACTATAACAGAAGCTGGTCATAGGGTGAGGCTGATGCCATGGAACGTAGGGATGAGACATGGAAAGAAATTTTGTCCTTGGTTTTGAGCCCCTTGTTCAAGCCAACCTTGAATTCTCTCCCATCTCTGGACTACAGTCGCCAGACCCAGTAACATCCTGCATTAGTTAAGTTAGTTTTCTGTGAACTAACAGAGGCAGCTTCTAAGCTTCAATTTTATGAGTGTCTTTGTGGTTTCGGTTTTGCTGGGAATGTCCTTCACACGGTGACTGACACAATAAATATTACTTACAGAAAATATCAACCAACATTTGTATAGCACTCAACAGATTTCAGAGAAAGTGAATCTGATCATCATGACAATGGTCCAATGTTGTAAGGCACCTAGAGATGGTATTGTTATCCCTTTTTTTATGGCTTAGGATAGTAATTGGCAAAGGACAGCCTGTAAGATAAATCAGGTTGTTTTCCTAAATCATGTTTTACTGTAACACAGCCATGCACATGTCCCTTACAAATCATCTATCGCTTCTTTTGCACTGCAGCAGAAGAGCTGAATAATTGCAGTAAAGACCACATGGCCAGAAAAGACCACATGCCAACCCCTGGTTTAGGAAATGGAGGACTAGACTTTCCTAAGGTCACATGGCAAATCAGAGGCAGATTCAGAACTTGAACTCAAGTCTTCCAACGCAGCACTTTTTCCTGTGAAAGAGAGGAACCAGGATCCCACAGGGCTCACGGACACAGGCAACCTTGGGAGCTATGTGGCTCATCCTCCCCTGTGGTCTTGGGCTCCATCCCTTGCCCTGTGGTTGCTCTGTAAGGAATTCTCTGCTCGGATCCCCAGCAGTGGCTGTGGGTGCCGCAGGGTTGCAGCAGTGCACAACCTCAGGGACACCACTTACACTGCAGATATCGTGAATATATTGTGCAATCCCACCCCGCTGAATTTACCTGTGAATGGCTGCCCCGGAAATCCATGGCTCTGGAGCGCAGCTGATAAAAAGCATCCACTTGGCACTGTTCATGAGCAAACAAGAGCTCCAAGAGGGGGAACTGGCCAAAGATGGTGCTTTGAGGTGGCTCTGAGCTCCCTGACGCGAGTCATGTGCAACCACACGGAGTGCATAAGGCAGAAGAGGTTCGGACACCAGATAAAGAACTGGATTAGTTTACTTAGAACTGTCTTACCGAAACCTGGGAGGCCATGTTTAAACAAAGAATAAAGAGACAGCCACGCAGCAAACAAAAACAAACAATAAATACAACTTTCGTAAGATACCCTGAAAGAGGGGAAACCCCCCAACTTGGTTTTTTCAGCAGGAAAGAGGACACCAAGTCCCCCAAGAATCAGGTCAATATTTTCCATCTATTACAAAAATTAAACCCGACATTACCATCTTAAGAACTAATAAATGGTCCAAGAAATAGGTGCATTCACTTGTGAAGAGCTCCCACACAGCCTCTTGCTGCATTTTCAGGTCTGACTGATCAGTACGAAGTTTTTGATGTGTTTCCACGACTTCGTTCCAGGTCTTGTCCTGTACGTGGAAGAAAAGAGCTAAAGATTTCCACCTCAGTGGCCTGAGTTGTGGTGTGGCAGGAACAAGCAATTCCCCCAATCATGATTTCCCACTGCAGGCCCCTGGCACCCCATTTAATAATAGAGCTTCAAGCTACCCAAACAGAAGCTTCTCTCTGTGGCTCTGGGAAGTCAGTTCTTCACAAAGCAAAGCATGGGGACAGTGGTGTACATTATTTTTAGTTTAAAATGAAAAGGAGTTTGAATTGATGTTGCTTTGAATTATGCTTGAGAACTTCATGAGTCTTTTTCAGTTTATTGCAAAAAACCCCTCAAAGAACCCCAAGCACACAACTGGGAAGTCTGATCCAGCTCTACTAGCAAAGCTTGTTGAAATCAACTACTGAAAATTATGAAACCGTTTTGATGTTTAAAGAAACCTTTAGACATTGTCTTATCAAAAACCAACTTATTTTTCAAAAGAGGTCCAGAGAGCTGAACCATAGTAACAACGATTAACATTTGTACAGGGCTTTGTGGCCTACAAAGGGTTCTCGTGTCGACACCTCAGTTAAGATAAAGTGACTCCCCTGAGGTTTCAGCGTACGCTAGGGAGAGCAGGCCTCTTTCCACCCAGTCCAGCTTCTTCTCTTGCACTTTGCTGTTATTATGCATGAAGAAATAAGCTGACAACTTAATGTTTTGGCTGAAATAAACAAGAAAGGAAGTCATGCCACACAGCAAATAATTTACAAGGTACCTTAAGGCTCTGGAACTCATAGCCCCTGAAGTCTGTAATCTTCACGGAGGAGAGGCAGTTTTCCAGATCAGATACGTACTTGTGTTTGTCTTTGCCCTGATTAAAGATTGTTAGAAACAGGATTTTCAAACATGAATTCTTTAACGACATGACTGGTATCCTCTGCATCTCCAACATGCCTGAGGACAGACTGCACATTTTGTCTATAAGCCACCAGCAGTTAAAAAGCCATTTCTGAGCCATCATCTGACCCACAGGACCACAGAATGTCAGAGCTGGAGGACAGAGGCCAGTGAGGATGTCTAGTCTAAGTGTCTCATTTTACTAATGGAAAAAAACCAAATTCAAGGCCTGGAATGGTCATATAGCAAATAGACAGACTTGTCTATCACCCATGCTGTGGGGGGAGGTAATGTCTTTCACAGTTCTAACTTGTTCAAACACTGGGTCATAGGACATTAGCATCAGAAGGTGCCTCAGATGTATTAGCTCAACTCCTCATTTAGCAGATGACTGAGTAAAGCCCATAGTGTTAAAGAAACTGCCCAACATGATAATTCTCTGCTAAAGAATACCAGAATGTGCTAGAAACTGTCTAGTTTCCTTAGAATGGAACCATCCACTTATTTGTGTAACAATTTTTATTTTTAATAATAGTTTTAGAAATCTGATTACAAAAGTAATATGCGGTTATTGCAGAAAATTTGAGAAATGAAAAAAAAGCACCAAGAAAACCAAAATAGTCTATAATCTTCACCCCAAGATAACCACCTATAACCTTTTTCTGATGATCTCTCTACTTAAACTCTAATGGTGCCATATTTACATATCCCTTTGTACCTTGCTTTTTAAACTTTAGTATATTGTGACTTTTTTTTAATGACTCATTCGGTGTTCTGTTGCAACATCATGAATTAACAACCATTTTAAGAGTTCATTTTACCAACCAAACAGTAAGAAGCTATCAAATAACAATGGGGAAGGCTTTCTAGAATCAACTTGGCTGCATTTCAAATGAATGTTTATCACACATAATTTTTTAACTTGTTCTATTGCCTCAGGGTGCCTGATGCTGGCATGGATCTAAGCAGACTGGTGGAAATTATTCAGCTCTGTGTTAATGAGCAAGAGCAGGCCCAGGTCACGGGCTGTGGGAGGGCGTGCTCCCCGTGTGTCCGACAGGAGACCCTGTCACAGTTTCAGAATGTGCTCAGGTTGCGGCTGGTTTCTCTGGTAGGGTTATGGTACTGAGAGAAGAAACCTATTAGAAACTCATTAGCTTCCACAGTAGCAAAGGAATCTTGGAACCGGTTGGGGACCTCCTACAGCAAATGGGACATATGCCTTTTGTTGATGTCTGAAACCATAGCAACCGCATGTTGTGGAAATAAAAGAGTCAGCAGCCGGTTGGAAAATAAAGCCGCTGAGACAATGGGCGCGGTGTTAGAGCTGTGGGAGAGCGGTACCAGCCTCTACTTGCAGGGCACCCACTGCAGCTTTCCTTGGGTCTGACCAAAGGACCTGGTGGACACACCAGTGAGGAGGAGGGGGACAGGCTCGCAGGGCTCATATTAACTCTTTAGAGTAACAGACCCATCCCCAGAAGCCCTGCCATTCCCCCTGTGGTGTCATTGGCCAGGAAAGGCAATGAGAAGCCGCTGAGGGGAGGTTGAGAGCATGTGGAAAACGAAGAAAAGGAAGATTCAATTCCTGGGTCAAACTTAATAACTAAGAGATGGGTCCAATGTTGCAGTAGGCAGTGGCGATGTAGAACAGGGTAAAATGGACATGTGAATGTGGGAATGTGAATATATACATTTTGGAGTGGGTGACGAACAGATGCCACTGACTCTGTGAGGACAGACAAGATCTCTGAGAGCAGGCGGTGTGTGCAGGCTGGCTGCGGAGCCCCACAACCAGAGGGGCGGGGCAATGCCAGGGTTAAAACAGACTTAGAAACAGACTGCCCGGGGCTGCTGGGCCCCACTCTGCCACTTCAGGGTGCTGTGACCTCAGCCAAGCTATTCAACTGCTCTGAACCTCAGTTTCCCATTTGGAAAATGGGGATAATAATGTTACCCACTGTGGGTAAAACTGCAATACTCCCAGAATCTCTCGCCTGGCCTTAGTTCATCTGCCTATCAACAGGTGGTTACAAGCAGGGTGAAGACTGAGAGCACACCTGGACGGGAGAGGTATTTTTTGGCTTCTTCGCAGCTGCGGAGTGAGACACAAAGGCAAACAGGAGTGGACAACTGCTTGTAAGCAATAAATGGTTTCTCCCACTTTAATGATCTCTTTGACTGATTTTGGCTTCAAAGGTTTTTTTTTGCCCTGAGCTGGGAATATATTTTCCCCCTGAAGTTGCACCTACACTGTTAGGTTGTCATGAGTTTTACTGAGTTAACACAGGTAAATTGGGACACTCATAACAGAAACAGTGCCTGGTATGCTAATGTATATATGTGTTTACTTTTATTACTAATATAGTTATTGATGATTGGGAAGAAAGGAAGGACAGAAGGAAGAAAGGTAAGAAAGGAAACATCTGTAATAGACTGGGAAAAATACATTATAATGCAGCCATGGGTTTTTTTATATTATGTGGATCATCATTTTTATAGATGTGGGTTACTTGATAAATAAGGCTGAAAAGATGAGGGCGCAAGCAGGCTGATTTTTAAGGGTCCTGATGTTGCTTCCTTTTGAAAGTGAGCCTTCAAGAAATGAATTTCCCTTCTTCACTGAGAACACTTGCTGAAACATTTTGTCCTTCCACTGATTATTCTCTTTGTGTGCCTCTACCACTGCCTACCCACCTCCAGCACTGTGCCAGCTAGTTGGCACATTTTTCCTCCAATTTACTTGTCAGTCTAACCTTCTCAATTGTGAGTGGAAAATGGGCATCTGTATGTCCTAAATATCTAGTCCAGTGCTTGGCACATGCAGTCACCAGACACATATGGAACTAATTGCTTCTTTATCAGAAAAAAAATACATTAGATCTAAAAACAGATCCGTCATCAAGACAACTTGTAGTTGTATCCCTTCCTTCTGTAAGTCTCTCCTTTCTGAAAACACATTTTTCTCCCTTAGGGCTTTGCTGCTCTGGAGGAGAGCAGAGGGGAGACGCTTCTTCTGCTGGGACCTCAGACCTGACTGGTAGCCGGCTCTGCCTCCATTTATGTGAGGAGAGCCTGCACCACGGGTAGTCCCAGCTCTACCAGGACAACAGCCGAATCATGTCTCTAAAGAGGGACACAACGTAAATGACTGATAAGCAACAGCCCTGGTGACTATAGTGTCATAATTTTACTAGGAGTTTATGATTTGAAGCTTGGAATGTTTAGACTGTGTCCCTGTGGGCTGAATAGTTGAGTCCTCTCCAAATTCATATGTTAAAGCCCTAATCTCCATACGTGATGGTATTTGGAGATGAGAGGTAATCAGTTTTAGATGAGGTCCTGAGGGTGGGGCCCCCGGGAGGGAATGAACATCTGTAGGGGGTAAGAGACTCTAGGGCTCTCTCTCTGCCAGGTGGGAATGCAGTGAGAAGGAGGCCCCCCGCTGCCAGGAAGAGAGCCCTCCCCGTGACCCAGCCACATCAGCACCCTGACCTTGGGTTCCCCAGCGTCAGAAGTGCGAGAAATAAATATCTGTTGTTTCAGCCCCTCAGTGTGTGTGTTTTGTTATAGCAGCCGAAGCTGATGAAAACACTACACAAAGTTTTTATGCATGAAAGCATAATGTGAAAGTCACATATTTGATTATGAGAAGTAGTTTTCCAAATCATAATTAAAATAACACTACCAAAAATATGGCCAGTACTGATTGTTTATGATGTGCCCAGCTCTGAAGTAAGTGTGACATGCATCATTTGATGTACTCATCCATCTACCCTAGGAGGCGGGCATCATCACGGTCTGCCTTACATGGGGAAGGACCTGAAGCTGAGAGAGGCTAACTCATCTGGCTAACATCACAGAGCAATAAATGGAGCAGCTGGAGTGGAACCTCCGAGGGCTTTTAATAAAGCAAGACTCAGAAAATATCACTGTGTGTGTGTCCACAGGACCTCCAAAGCAGATGTCAACAGCTGATGAGGAACTGATTGGAGAGGCCACATGGACAGATTTTTAAGAGAATGAGTTACAGAAACTTTACCCAGAAGGCCCTACCCTTGCTGTTGGCTGTGCCATGTAGGTATTACAACTGGTATTGTCAGTAGAATAAGCAGCCAGCCCTTCCCTTCCTCCAGGGCTCAGTAGTGAGGGTGCTGTGGTCAGGAACTCGCCTTCCCTCTCCCCACAGAGCCAGAAGGCAAGCCTGGATTGTGGTCAACCCTTGTCCTAGGTGGTAAAGAATCAGAGACCACTAATTTCGATTTATAACTCTTCAATAATTGATGGGGCCCAGAATGAATTTTAACAACCTAATAAAACTCATCCAAATGGCTTTCCCAGAAATAGACAAGTATTTCTGTAATATCTCATAAATTTTTCAGCATTCCTAATATGCCCAGCACTGATTGCAAACTGGGACACACACTTGTGCAAGTTTACTTCATCGAGGGAGCTGTTTCCCAAGCTGTATCAAGTTGTAAACTTGGCATTGTCAAGAGTCACGATATTAGGATGCTTTGTTTTTTGCAGAGCTCATTAACCACCGGCAATTAGTACTGTTTTGCTGCACAAAATGGTTTCATTTGGCATGTTCTGTAGCCACTGCTACGCATGTGATGCTAGCATTTAAACTTCACGTGCCATCTGCCATCCTGCAACGTTAAAGCGGGATGAAGGGGCTCTTCAGCCATTTACCACTTTCTTAGCGACAGGAGGCGTCATTAAGACAAAAAGGACAATGTGCAACACTCACCACTCCTCTCTTGGAGAAAGGCCATCTTGGCTTTTTGGAGTCTGCTGGGTGAAATTAAAGATAATATATTAGTACTTGGAGTAACTCGTGACAGATCTTTGTAGTGCTTTACAAAACCTGCCCTTTCAAATAAGCCAACTAGACTTTATCCTGCTCTAATTCTCCTTCTCTTCCAAAGGCACAGAATGAATATTTATATTTATGCACATGACAGAATGAAGTGATGGCTCAACCTACAAGTTGGCAGCCTGTTACTACCTTCAGGTGATATTGTCCTGTTTCTTTACTAGAGTGTTGGTTAGCTTCCTTTCCCTGTCATGTGGGGAGAAATGTACCAATATAATAAAGACGTTCAGCGATTTATTTATATAAGACAAAATGCCATGGGATTTTGGGGCTGAAAGGACTTCATGTTTACACTGTTCTACCAGAGACCATCCAGCATACGCAACATCAATAGCCTGACCCCGTCTGAGACATCGACATCGCATCGCCTTTATAATCCCCGGATGTGGTGAGGAAGACTCCTGATATAGGGGAGCATCAACACACGTCCATATGGTCACTCTTGGCCGCCATCCAAGTAGTCCTTGGGGGCTGTTTTGGGTTGAGTAGGAAGTCGTTATGCAGTAACACATTTTTTTGATGATCAGGAAATAAAGAGTTAGATTCTGGTCATTTGGTTTTTGTGTCATTTGCATCGGCATACCAGAAAAAGCTGGGAATGGTCTCTGAGGTTTTGGCAAGATGTTCTGATGACTCAGTATTCAAAATGAATATCTTACAGGTCTGTCTCCTTTCTAGTAAATTCATCAGTAGACTCTGCACAATACTTCAATCAGATGGAAGCAATTACTAGATCAGTATTTACTACAAAGGTTGTGCTTGAGGGACTTTTCCTACTGGAACCCTGAAAGGCAACCATCCATCTGATTATCTCCCTCATTCAGTCCACCTTATTGATTTTTTTAAAGGGGAGATTAAGGTGGAATCTTAAAGTGGAATCTTCCTTAGGGACAAATCAGCTTCACCACTCTTAGCTCTCAAATGTCTGGTGGTATTATAATTGTGTCCAATTTGAACTGCAATGATTGAGGTCTCTGGTCTTAGCAAATTTCTCTCCTCTGCTTTTCTAACTTTGGGGATAATTTTAAGGCCATGGGAAAGCTTCACAAGTATTCAGAAGAAAAGCTGAATGAGTCTATCAAATCTGCAACCTTTTATTACCTGTCTTAAATATTAAGTTTTGCTAAATCAAAATCTCTATTTCAGCCCCTCCAGATGACCCATATACACATCAAAGCCTGAGAAGCACTGTGTTAGCCCATGATTTGGGGAGATGAGGACTTTATTCTAACGACTTGAAAAGAGAGTAAGGAGGGGAATGGTGGGGGTACTGCCTACCTTGTGCTATGTGGTATTTAGTATAAAGCTAGGCACACAGTTCAACAAAGAAAGAACAATGAGTATGATTTAGAGGCACCATGCATGGCATAGCCTTTCCTGGGCTCCTTCATCACATAAATGGAGGCAGGGCCAGTTACCAGGCAGGTGTGAGGTCCCAGGAGAAGGGGCATCTCCCACCTGCTCTCCCGAGGGCCCCATCAGAGCAGAGAGGCTGGGAGATAGAATTCTCACCCTGTTCCTTGGCATGGTAATTTTCAAACTATAGCCTGGATCAGAATCACCTGGAGGGCTTGTTACACAACAAATTGCTGCCCACCTATCCCCACCCCACAAGTTCCTCATTCAGAAGGGCTAGGCTGGGATGCTGGCACCTGCATGTCTGACACTTTCCCAGGTAGTATGGAAGCTGCTGGTCTGGGACCAGCCCTTGGGAAACACTGCTCTAGTTGTTAACTAGTTTAGAGCATTTGCGAAGATCATGAAACATGTACTAAACTCTGTGAAGGTTACGCTGTGTTCAGGGCTAGCTCTAATTTCTGGGGGCCTGCCGTGGAGTTGATCCCTTAATCCCTCTTGGTTGGTCCCCTTGGGCTACTCTGTCCTTTGGGACAGTAGATGTTCATTTGGGTGGTTGACAGCACGTAAGGCAGCAGATGCGAAATGGATCTATAAAGAGGGAAGAGCTATACAAATTCTAGTTGTGATTTATTCACTGGCGGCTTCTGGGCTCCATGCATAGAAGACGACAGCAGCCCGTTCAGCAGTGACTGATGCGGGCTGGTGGAGGGCGACTACCAGTCAGGGGCCCTGGATGCCATTTCTTTGACCCAAAGAGGCTGACACCATGGCTAGGTCACTTTTCCCTTGTGAGCCTTGCTTCTCCCACTTGAGAATGAGGAATGAGGTTGGTGGCTTTCCAACTGTGTGGCCAGGTGCCCTGGGCTTCTGGGCTGCCTTGGAAGGTGTGTCTTTGGGACCCACCCCTGCTTCAAGCATTGCAACTCCAGACTTTTTAAGCCTGCTTGACATTAATAATTTTGATCAGTCTTCATATATTGCATTTCCAAGTAAAGCTTCTTTCATAAAAAGGGCTCCACTAAAACAAAACCAGTTTAAAAACTGCTAGGATGGGTAATCATCAAGTCTCCTTTTAATTCTCAAAGTTTATCTTCCGAATCATGGAGAGTGTGCCCTGAAAAACAACTGAGGTGAAGATACAGGAGATTTACCCCTAAGGCTTCCTCTCTCTAATGTTTTAACAGTAATTTGCTGCCACCAGGACCTCTGCCTCCACGTGGTACCACTCTGGTGGGCAGACACCAGTGCCAGGCTGAAGGCCAGAAAGTGGTGGGGTGGCACTACAGTAATGATAGGGAAGTGACCCGCCACCGCAGAGAGAGCATTCTGCTTCAAGACGGTGACCATCACTGGTGTATCTGGGGAAAATTATTTGACAAGAAGACCTTTTGAGGGAAGGACCATACCTAATTCACCTCTGTAAGTGGAATGCCCAGTGTCAAGACTGGTATTCAGCTGATGTCTGTCCTAACTGGTGAAACATTTTGTTCTAACTGGTCAGTGCCTGTGTTCAAGTAGTTATTAAATATTTTGCAAATGCTCTCCTCTGCTTCTTACAATATCTGTCCCATAGCAGGTATGTAAGGAAACCAGGCTGAAAGATTGGGACCTGAATTCAGCAGCAGAAGTGGGTGGCACAGGTAATCGGCAGCTCCATCTGACACCAGAAGGTCCCCGGGGAACACCTCAAGTCCAGGTAAGTTGAGCACCACAGAGCCCCGCCTGTGTCCGTAGAACCTGTGTTCAGGAGACGGAAGGAGAGAGCTTAGAGCAGGGGCTCCCCTGAGAGCACCTCTGGGTGTTCAGAAGAGACTTCCAGCAACCTATTAACATTGCTATGTCAGGAAGGACTTGGAAGCCGCTCCAGGCTCCAGGCATGGGAGGGCTGTGACGACACACGCCCACCACACGTTTACTCAACAGTTTTGACATTAATGATTTTGATCGGTCTTAAGCAGAAGAGCTCACCAGGAAATGTCAGCACAATGGTATCTAATGTGTTCTACTCAGAAGGACAACTGGGAGAAGGCCCTTGAACCCAAAAGTCTTTGCAACTGACACTGCCTCCAAGTGGATCCATGGGTGTGGCCACCAGCACCCCTTGCAATCCAAGGCTGGTTGTTATTTAAAGTCAGTCCTTTTATTTTTTCCCAGATAAAAATGAGAAATATTGTTAGGAAAGCTTAGGAAACAGGCTTCTCTATCTTCTCCGTTCCTCTACCCCTTTTCATGAAACTTCCTGTCTCTGGGATGTGCACACAATAAATGGCTGACCCATCAGACACAGGGGAGAGCAGTTCTGAAGCTGCTGGACATTTGCTCAGGGATCTCTAAGGAGCAAAGCTACAAGAAACAGGTCGTCTTGTTTGTGTTGGGGGCGCTCATGCAGCACTCCATCCACTGTTACTGGTGAGCACGGATGAATGAAATACACCTCTTATGCCTTCCTCAACCAGAAAATATCTTTATAAGGTAGTTTTGCAGAGGTGTGTCTTATCTCCCACCTTTCCTGGAGCTCTGAGCTCCTGGTCTAAATCCCTGTATTTAGTAAGTGCTCAAAAAACATGTGTTGAGTTTAAACTGAACAGAAACCGAGCCCTCGCACGCCCGGAGTCATCACTGTCACGTCCGCGCGTGAACTTCTGCATGAAGCCTACTCCAGGAACAGCAAGCTTCTTGCTGCTCTTTAAACTTTAGGTCCTGCACTTTAGGTGGTTCCCCTTCTGCTTGCCTCTCTCCACTTTGCAAACTCTTTCATGTCTAAATTCCAGCTTAGACGCTTTTTGTCCAGGAGTCTTTTCTGACCCGTGCAGAGAGAGCCATCAGCCCTCTCCCCCACCCCATCTTGTCTCTTTACTATATAATGATTTCATTGAAGGCTTATACTGTGTCATATTTATGTAAAATCTAAGCACCCAGCCCAGAACTTGACATATAGCAGCTATTCAAATAAGTTTCTTGAATGAATAGGCAAATTGACCCAGAGGATGATAGATACCCAGGCAGTCCACAAATGAACTTGCTTTTTCCATTTGGAATCATGACTAGTCACAAACAATCACAAGAGCAAACCACAGAAAGAGTCCCTCCTCCCTCCCATTAATGGTGGTGAGATCAGGCCCGTCCATTGCTCCCTCGCCTGGGGTACCTTCCAACACACTCATTCATTTGGGGGCACCCCGGCCAGGCTTGGGAGTTCAGTTTGCACAAATGGAGCCGAGGGAAGACAACTGGCTCACATAGGGCTTGCTTCCTTGATGTTCAAAGCCCAGTGGTGCTCATTTTGGGAAGGTGTGCATATCCCTGGAAGGGCAAGACAGAATCTCTGTGGGTGTGACATTTTTAACGTTCATCAGAAGAGGGCATGGGTTCATAAAATATCAAGAGTCACAGCTGTAACCATATGGAGAGCTGGGAAAACAATAAAGAACAACATCGACCCATAGTAACGTTAAGAGGCATGAATTGGTACAGGAAACCTGGCCCTGCTGCACCCATGCCGGGCAGCAGACTGCATTTCTGGGCACTTTGCAAAGGACCTCACGTCTGGGCCAGCCAGGGATGCTGGCTCATTGAATTAATGATATTCATGCAAGTAGTTGCCGTGAATTCAGGATTACTTTAAATTTAGGTCTTACTGGGGAAGGGGTGTTGGTGGTTCCAAATTGGTATTGTATTTTTGCTACTCCAAAGAGGATTGCCTCATATAAAAAATGGTATGCACACAGGATCATTATGTCTAGTTCTGGGTTGATTAGCCACTGGAAGCAATCACTGTAATAAATTCAGAATTTTTTATAACCCTTTCTCATACAAGATAGAGTGTGCCTGGGGTAGTGGTGTCCTGTGTGAAGAGCGTGGAGAAGAGAATTTTTTGATACCAAGCAAGTGCAAAATGTTTAGGGTGTGGCTGGCAACCCACTGCCGCTGTGTAAGGACAGAATAACTTTATGCTGCCGTTTGTTTGGAAAAATACAACTAAACAAACATCTTTGAGAAATACATTTTTTTTTTTTCTTTTTGATCTGATGCTTGGCTATTCTGTTTCTTTGCCTCAGGACAAAATTCTGGAGCCAAGAGATTGTGTAACTGGGTGCCTGACCCAGACTTTGCGTCCCTCTTGGGCCTGCCAGAGCCTCCCTCCACCCCTGTTCAGAAACCCCACCCAACCACACCTTCACTAACCCTGAGTTGCGCTGCCCCAGGTCAGTCATATCCGAGGGGACTAATCCCATGGCTGCTGGAATAATCTTGTCTCCTCTCTGGTATCAGAATGTCTCCTATTCCGTCCTCTGCTGAATATTCAGAGATCCATGGTGTGGGCTGGGACAGCAACAATTTAGAGAATCCAGAGAATTCTCCCCCACTCCTGAGCTGGCCTCACACCCAGGCGTCTACACGAACACTGAGCTTGCTCTGGCATGTTGGTGCCAGAAAAGCTTCTGGCTGGGAGCTTAGATTTTATATGAAATAGACCCAATGATCCTGTGTGCATGCCATTTTTTATATGAGGCAATCCTCTTTGGAGTAGCAAAAATTAGATATGTATTGGGAACCACCATAACGCCTTCCCCTAAGACCTAAATTTACAGTAATCCTGAGTGCATTGCAACTTCTTGCATTAATTCCCCAGTGGGCCTCAAATGCATATACTTTGCAAGGATTAGATTGGTTTTGGTGAATATTATTCTAATTTATAGTCAGCTGTCACTTACTGAACACGGACTGTTACCAGACACTCTGGCAAGTGCTTTACACGCATCATCCTATCATTTTCACAAGTGCCCTAGAAAGTGAAAATTACTCTTCTCATTAGAGAGCCAAGGTCCCTGGAGCTTAGAGAAATGGGTAAGCAACCCACCTAAAGTTGCATTGCAACGAGTGACAGAGCCAGAGCTCCAGACTCAAACACCCAAGTGTGACTCTGAATGACTTGTAAGTTGGAGGAAGAGAAAAAGATACTGCAAACCATGTTAAGGCATAAAGTGTTTTTAAAAATTGATAAAACAATGGTAACTGCTTAGGTAAAAGAGGAGGTGAAGGGTTTGAAGGAAGTTTTCCCCAAAGATAAATCAGCATCCTAACCCCTGGAACCTGTGAACATGATCTTATTTGGAGAAGGGGTTTTTGCAGTTGTAATTAAGTGAAATATCTTGAAATGACATTATTCTGGATTCTCTGGTGGGGCCTAAATCCAATGACATGTTTGCTNCCCAGGCTTTTTATACTCTCTTGTACATTTTCTACTATATGGTATTGCTAAGAAGTAGAGTGAATTTTAAATGGGATTTCCAGATGGTAAAATTCACTATGCTTAGCAACCATGTTACTTATTCAAAAGCTATTTATCTCTTGTGATTTTTGTATTGCATGTCTTAAAAGCAATGCTAATGCAGAGTAATTTCACTCTGATGAAAGTAAAGCTATTTTTTGTACTTCTTAATTTAATTTCTAAAAACATGCATTTTGCTTTGAAATTTGCTTTGGTTTATGTGTATTTTTAAAACCCGGATAATGGAAACACTTCTGATTTTTCCATTAGCTATAAAAGCAATGTATTTGCTTCAAGATGAGAAAACATTATAGGTATTTAATCTGTTGCACATATGAATTCTACCAGATGCTTAGCTGATCCACATTACGTAAGTTTGATGACAGCTATCTTGCAATTTTTAATTGAAAGAGCTTTAAGTAATTATGCTACAGCCATGTTCAGTGTGTGTAGCAATGAGGAAGCCCAGATACTGGAGTGGAATCTTTCACTAGAGCTGTTAATAGAATCCCAATTCCAGTTTGTAAAGCAGCCAGCTGCAACCCACTTGTGATATACTATATGAAAAGGTACAGATGAATTTGATGCAAATGATTTATTTGCAAAGAGTGGAAATTTGCTATTTAAAATTCATACTAGTTTATTTTAAAGAATATGTCTGCTTTTGGACTGTTACTTTGAAATAAGAAGTGACCTACCTAAAAATCCTTTAGCACCCTGCAAATATGCAGCATTGAGTATATATAACTTCCTTCTCTGGAAGTTTAAAAAAAATGGAATTAGAATACCATTTGTACCATTTCCTTTGTTTTAAAAAATGGGTATAAGATGCAGAAATGTGTTTTTTTATGATTCATAGCTGGTAAATAAAATTGTCTATATTACCACATGAGTCTTGCAATAAAATACAAACTCAAGTACATGAGGTTTCTTTGGAAGAAAATGCACATATTGTCAGCCAGGGGAAAGGATCATGTTAAATATCTCTACTAAATTGACCTGGACTAGCCTCTACCATCATATGTCCTCATCCACCCTCTCCTCCTCCTTCTACTCCTTTATGGTAGCTGTGGACAGTTTAAAGTATTGACTTTCAAATTATGGATTTTGACCCATTTATTGGGTCCTGACCAGAATTTTAAAAGATAAAATGGAAATTGCATCAAAGGTGCATTACGTATAGTAAGGATAACAACTGTGAGTTTTAAGATAAAATGTATTTCTTACTGTGAATCATGGTTTAAAAAAGATTGAAAGGCACTGATTTAGTGTAAAATGATTATGAAAATCATTGTTAATTTTCTTCAAAATATTGTGCATATTTCTCTTTGGTTTCCTTCTTGGTAACTTCACTCTTTTTTCATTAATGATCATATCCTGGAATTTATTTCCCACACCTAAAGCTTTGCAGAAGGAAGAAATATGTACAGTGATAGGGCATATTAACATATATATATATATATATATATATATTAGCATCCTGTTAGAAATGGCATAAAACTAAAGATGACTTATCCTAGAGGAATTAACGTTTAAACAAAAGGGTATTAACAAGAAGCAGAGTCACGCTGGCTGGGAAGGGGAGGGAGATTAAGAAAGAGCAGGAGTGCATCACTTCAAAAAAAATGCAGAAAAAGTTTAAAAACAGCTAACAAAATTAAGACAAATGTAAAAGTAGCCTAATATAGATATAACTTGCTTAGGCTACATCCGGGAAAGAATGAACCCTGTAGTACTCAGCCAATGAGGAACCAGGGGAGGGACTCACCAGCTAAGGAATGAACTGCTTGCTGTAACCCCTAGTGTGCTGGCTCACCAGACACCTGATCTTGCAAGACCGTCATTAAAGCCTGGCTCGGCTGTTCTCTTGGACTAAGCTCCTTTCACAGTGAGCACGTTTCTCCCAATCCCCCTTTGGGGGATGTTCTAACTGGTATTCAGTGCTTTTGTCTGGTTTCTTTTGTAAGATAGACTTTCAAATACCTCGTCATTTGGTGTAGATATATTCATACAGACACATCAGATCATTAGGTTGTACACCTTAAACTTAAGACAATGTTATGTGTCAATTGTATCTCAGTAACACTGGAGGGGAAAAAGGATAGCAATATAATAAAATATGCTATGGCGTGCTAAAGTGTTTTTAAAAAGCAAAGAAACAAACAAAAAAACCTAATATGCTATCCATTAGTCTCTAGTTAATACCTTCCTGATAAGCTTTTAAGCCCTATGAGAGCTGGAACCCTCTTCTCCCTCTTTGGTGTTACCCAGAGTTGACAGACAGTGCTCAGTATACAACAGGCTTTAAGTAACAGTCTGTGGAGGGTATAATATTGTATTGAATCTGATGTTCAGTCACATCAAATAAGCTTCCCGTGATCATTTCACTCTGGGGTCAGAATATTTTATAAGTCAATTATTTGCATATAGGAAATGCTGAATGAATGAATGAACAAATGAATGAATGAATGGTTTCTTTTTAAAAAAGCTGTATTTATTTAATGCTATCATCTATTATATCAATGCTATTATACTATTTATCATTTCAGAAACTTATTCTATGGGTACTATTTGTATATCCACTTCACAGATGAAGACTTTGAGTGTTTGAGTTGTTAAAAAACTTGCCCAAGGTCGTGCTGTCAGAGAGAAGTAGAGGCTGACCGATGCACAGGCAGGAAGCGATTTCAACAGGTTTAACACCAGGCTGTGCTGCCCCCTACTGGCAACTCCCGCTGAATCTGGCTTTGGGGGGTGTTTTAACCGACATTCAGTGTTACGTCTGGTTTCTTCCTTGTCTGGTTTCAAATGCCTTGTCATTTGGTTTTCATACTAGTGTTGCCCCATTTGCTAATTTGGATATATTTAGCATTTTCCCTGTTTACTTCTGAGCATTGGAAGGTAAATCTTTGTTCGCATAGATATGATAAGTACATTTCCCTTGTCAGCTGCAGGGCTGACTGGAAAATTAGGTGAGAAAGACAGCTTTTGGTGAACATAGATTTTATAGGTTACCAGGAAGGTCTCCCTACACTCCAAATCTCCCCCACTAGCTTCTTGATTTTTAAAATCCCACCAATGCTGTGTCATTGCTGGGCTTCAAATTATGTCCTTTGTCAAAATGCAAATACAACCTGACAGCCTGCTTGCTTTTTCTTCTTTCAACCCTCTTTTCCTTCAATAAATATTTTTGGAGATAGACCGTAGCTGAGTAATGAGTTTTAGAGGTTTAAAGGTAAATAACTGGTCTCTGCCCTCAGGAAGATCTTGATTCTGGAAGCAGAAGAATGTATAAAGAAATGCAGAAGTGTTTGAGATATGCTGATGGAGGCATTTATAAGGTGTGGGGAAACCCAGAAGACAAGAATGCACTGCTCTACTTGGAGAGATGGGTGCAGCTATCTCTTAAACCTGAAGTCTTTCACATTTTGGTAAGAGTGAATTGTAAAGATTATTTTCCAGGTGGCATATTTTGATGTTAGGAGAAGGTTTGCAGTGAGTGTGAGTTTACTGGAATATTATATATATAGAAAGAGGGAACGACAGGGATGAAAAAACTTTACAAAGAGAAACCTGAAATTCGGAACTGAAAATAGACTGGGCCCTTTTCACATGAGCCTGTCCAAAACACCGCAGTAAGAAGAACAGTATTTTTGCAAAAAGGCTTATGTGTATTCACTAGGCAGAAAAGGTTGTTGTGACTGACTGAAGACCACAGAGGCAAGCATTTCTTAATTGAACATACCAGGGATCAGCAAACATTTCCTATAAAGTCCCAGATAGTAAATATTCTAGGCTTTTCATTCAACAAACATTGCCAAGTATTGTACTAAGTCCTGGAGAAACAATACTGCAGCAATACCTCACTGATACACTAACACAATAATTTGCATTTTCCCATAGCTTTGTAACTATCCTCTACTTTTGTTCATACATTTAGGTTAATTAGGGTTAAAATCAATACAGACTTATTGATGGATCTCATCCTTCCTACTCTGAACAGCGAACTCTTACTTGAGGACTGAAGTCCAGAGAAAAAAAAAATCAATGGCTAATTCCCTGAGGATTCCTCCATGACTTTCCAAATAAAATGAGGGCTTTCCCCCCAATCCTACAGATTGGGTGGATAAAATTGGGCATGGATCTTTTCACTGGTGCCACAGAAGGTCCTTATTCTTGGGAGTGATGGCAAATATACTGCCATACCTGGAGACCGGGCTGGAAGTTCAGAGCTGGTTTCTGAAGTGATACAATCCACCTACATTCTAGATAAAGTCACAGTGTATCATAATGGGTCTTTTCGCAAGTTGTCCTAGATTTAAACAGCACATCCTGTTCCTTTTATCTTTGTCTTCTGAATTTCTCTTTGAAAATCTGTTGAATGTTTCAACATTCAACATTTTCTCTGGAAAAATTTATTACTAAATAAATATTAATTAAGCCATAGGGCTAAGTCATGGACAATTCAAAATGAAAACCACGACCTCACGGATGTCAAACCCTGCCCCCAAAAGTCACAGCAAAATGCTGTACTTTTCAACGGGACCCTTGAAATGAGCACTGTCTCACTCATAAACACGAAGAGTGATTTGGGGGCTGTAAAACCAAGTGCCCCCATTAATACACCATCAGGTTTGCTATGTCAGAACAGAAATAAAGATACGTCAAAGAAAATGGCTAACAATTCTCATAGGACTGGAGAAAAGAAAAACATACATACCTGGATGGATGCATTTCTTCTCCCTGAAATCAAGTTTTAGAAAACATGTTTTAGTTTTGCTCAAACTCACCGAAAATTCCAAAGCAGAGATTTTGAAAGGAGAGGCAATTACCTTTCCTAGATGAAATGTTTTGGAATTTTCTTTTTGAAGGGGAGGTGGGGGGATATTACAAATCTGAATAATTTGCTCCTTCTGCCCTTTTGAACCAGCCACACCAGGTGTTTTCAAGGGTGTGGATTTGCCTCCTTTACCATCCAGGGCCTGATAGACCATCTCTAGCCTCAGCTTGGCAAGCCCTTTCTTAAAGTGCCTTCAAGGATATTGAAGCAAGTGAGCTAGACCCCCGTCCTCCCTCTGACCCCCCAAACTGCTGCACTCCTCTTGTTTGGGAACCAGTACATCCTAAAGAC